TAATTCTGTTGAACCTTTCTTCAATCAATTTTCATCAAATCCAAAATTAAACTCATATGAAATTACAAATATACTCCGCGATGTAATGTTTAATGTATTAAATACATTTAATAATGCTACATCATTGAAATATTTAAGTACTACTTCAACTTACTTAGGAAATGATTCTCAACCTGATTGTGCATTTATATATAAAAATATAAACATCGATACTCGTAAAGAAGAACGATGTTTGCAAGCTTTTGTTGTTTGTATTGGCAATTTAAAGTCTCCAAATGAATCTTTATCAAAAAACTCAATGGTTGAAGAAATATTAAGCGATTTGACAACGATATTGTCAAAACAACGTCGTAAAAGATATATGGTTTTCTAAGCAATTGTTTACATATAAAATTTTTTTATATTGAAAAGGATTCCAATTCAAATTCCTTTGAATTTTTTCAAAGTCAAGAATTAGAACTGTTCAGTTATTTGTCTGAAACATTATCGTCTACTGGTGAATCAAGAAAAAGAATAAATACAGTAAATTCAAAATTATGTGCTAATAAAGATACATGGAAAATATTTACAAAATTCTTAACAATGAATAGTGAATTTTATGAATATACAAGATTCAATATAGATCCTCATGATGATTTACTTGCTGATCAATATCTGATTATAAAAGGATTAGGAAAGGGTTTAACATCAATGATTTATTTATTAGAAAAAAATGAAAATAAATATTCAGTTGAAGAGTCACCACATCATGTAATGAAAATATTAAAAGAAAGTGCAGATTCAAAATTATTTTCAAACGAAATTAAAATAACAACAATTAAAACAATTTAATGATTCAAAAAAATTTCATTTATTTTTTCAAGATATTTTACATCCATCACGTCCAGGTAACATTTTTTTTTTTCGACTTTCTCTTCATTTTTTTGAACAGATTCAAAGGGTATTGACAAAAATAAGAAAGCAAAAAATTTTTCAAATAATGAAGAAAATGCTTAAATGCAGAAGACTTTATGAGATAATGACATTGTCGAATCTGTAATTCTGCAATATAACTTGACTGAATGAGACGGCTTAGAGAAATTTATCTTTCATAATAGATGAACGACTAGCAAATTTGTTCTTATAAAAAAATACTTCGAATGAAATAACTATTTTCTCCTCTTGATTTAACACATTAAATCAGTAGAAAGAAAAATATCTGAAAAGTTCAATCGATCGAAGATCAGAGTTTGTTTTGGTTTTCAGATTTTTAATAGATTATAAAACAAAAGAAATAAGAATAATTTATGCTAATTTATTCTCATGTTAATATAGATAATTCGAAACGAAATCATAAATAAGAAGAATGATGATTAATAAAATGTTTTGTTAAAAAAACAGATTGGTAATAGAGCAAAACAAAAAATACCAATGTTTCTAATTAAATGAATTAACGAAAAAGGAAGCTTTTTGCTCTCATCATTAGAAGATAAATAAAAGCTCGATAGAACATGTTATTACTGCCCAAGAAGAAAGAACTGTAGGAATTAGTATTCCAAAGTCAATTTTTAGAGACTAACGCTATTTTTATGTATGAACGCGTTATTTTTTACTGCGACACGTTCAAATGCATCAGTATTTATTTACAATACACTTATTGTATCGCTTTAATCCACTGTGCGTTGTTTTTAATTTAAAACATCATCTAATTACTGTTTAAACACGTTTATAAGCAATACATCTTTTGTTCCCAGTGAAATGCTTTTAGTGAAAATGCAGTTATATGAGGTAAACTCTGCTAACGCTTAGGTAAACATTTCGAAGTATCAGATTCAAAATAATACTGCTTAAACAGATATCATTGCAGAGATTAATTTTATGAGTACTGTGTAGAAGAATATATTTTAATATTGTGAACAATATAAATTGTTGTGTAATAAAAAGAGCAAAATGCAGATGAATTGGAAAGAATTTAATACAATTGAAAAAAATTCCGTGTTTTATTTTCAAAAGCTGTAGATAAATTGATATCTCGGTAACGAGTCACTTAAATATTTTCCTGTGCAATGATTGAGCATAATGTCTTTTTATTCATCTTAATGAAATTTCTAATCATTCATGGCTAACGTGCTATTATTTTTTTTTGAGAGACCTAATTTATTCAAAGAGACTAGATTGGAAAAGAATAAAATAGTTCGTGTTGTTTTTTAATTGCCTTCATAGGATTCAACTGAACTTTTTCAGTTATTTGTTTTGTTGATGTCTTTCATCAATGTTTGTTTTTTTTTCTCTGTATAGCAGCTCCAATGAATACATAAAACTAAAAGTTTTACTCCTGCACTCAAAATAACATGTTCTATAATAATAAAATAGATTAGTACACATAATTCTAAGACATTTTACTTCGTGTTTTCTGCCTCTTAGCCAAGTCATTTTTATTTTAAAAACTTAAAACATTTTTCAACTACTGCAGAATTTCGACTCTTTATCAATTTTCGAATCTGAATTGTTTTTCTATGAAAATCCAAACTTGGCGGATATTAAAAAATAGGTCAACAAATCATATATGCAGCTTTCCTTGCTAATAAGATAGATTTATTATTAGAGGGAAATACATGCAAATATGGAGACATCCTTCAGAGAAAATATGTTCAATTCAATCAATCTGACACCACGAAATTGAAAAAAAATGCATAGAACTACGTAAAAATATGCAAGATTTCTTTTTGTATTCAAGAGAATATTGATTAAGCGGTGAAGAGGAGGCAAAGATGAGAGATCAAAGTTAGTAAGAGTACCGGATTTCTTCGCATATTTCATAATATCCATTAAATTTGTTTTGTTTTTTCATAGAAAACAGTTCAAATTTGAAAACTAATATTTCATCGATAACAGGAAATTTTTCAAAATCCATACTTAGACACAATTTTCATCACACAAAAGATTGACAAGATTTGTTTGCGTCTTTGATGCTCTTTCTTAAACTCTAGTTTCATAATAAAATTGAATCTATTTATGATATTATTCACTATTACAGAAAAAACTAAAGATTTAAAAATTATGTTTACTGGAACAAACTCGACTAAAACATGTCTAATCTTGACAATTTTATCAAGTAATTTAGTGATCGGCATGATCTTTCTAACTAAAAACACAGCTGAATTGTGGAGAAAAGAGAAAACGATGTCTTAGAATAATTTTTACGACTCTAACTTCCGTTTAAATCTAGGATTGTGACTGAACAGCTCTCTATATTAGTAGTGCGTAGTTTAGATGAAATAACAAGTAAAAAGAAGATTTTGCGTAACTGCTTTTTTTACAAAACTCAATCATCATTGTACATATCTCTAATTCAATATGACTCGACAATAAAAAGAATTCGATATCGAACACGTTGATTTGCCTATGATTAAAATAATATTTAATACTCTTTCTAATTTGTTTATTTTTATATTCAGATAAATATTTGTTGTATGAAAAAGAATTACAGTCTATAAACTCATTATCATTAATGCAATCGAAGCAACTTATTGATATAATGAAATATTTATATGATTGTCGTATTATCCATCGTCATGTACGTCCAGAAAATTTAATGTTAGATAGTGATACTAATCATATAAAATTAATTGATTTCTCTTTTGCCATTACATATGATGTGGATGACAAGTCAGGCAGCATAGGCGTAACAGATACAGTTGCATATGCTGGTTATGAATTTTTAGATTATTATTCAAAATTATTATTTGGATTATGTTTACCAAATTATCGTTATGAACGAACATTTGATTTAAAATGTGCATCGAATGTTATAATAGCTCTGAATAATGTTCCTCTTCTAGCAAAGATTTATGCAGTTGAAACATTAACAGATATTCACCACATGACATTAGAAGCAATACACTTATGGCTAGATACTCGACGAACGAATAAAGATTATTCAAATTTATTAAATTTAATAGCCGATTTACATGAATCATCAACTTTTGATGTTTTAAAAAATCAAATAGAAAAACTCTTCGATTATTGAACAATTATATTCATGCCTTTTATCCATCATATGTTTATGTTGTTCATTTAACAAGTACAGATAACTCTTCTCATTAACATTTATATATTCATTTCTTTTGTCGTTTGCTTATTATGTTGTTGTTTGTTACAGTTAAACTTTATTCATCTATAAACAAGCATATTCTTAGAGAAAAAGACAATTCTTTGATTTATTAAAGTCACTTTTTTAATTTTCTAGTCTGAGGTAAGAAATCATAATGACTTGTTCGTGCATCAATAATATGCTGTGTTCGATAGATGAACATAGTGAATACAGCTGTTCCCTCGGACAATGTTTTCAACTAATGAAATCAACTTCGTGAAAATCATAAAATAAATGCTTTTAAAACTAATATAAAATTTTCCTTACACTACTCAAAATATTTTTTTCTTGATTAACGACATTGAAACAGAAGATTCTTTTTCAATTTATATATTAGATGCTGCTTGATTTTGTTTGTTCGAAGCTATTATTATTTTTACTGGAAATTATTGAAGATAAATTTCATGTGATCATTTTTCTTAATCAATCAAAGATGTTACTATTGGAACGAAAACTTCTAAATACAAAATTCAAAATTATCATTTTTTAAGATAAAACGATTCTTCATACTTTGATAAAGATTATGCCAATTAAAAGCGTCATTTACAAAACGTGCAGAAGTGTTTTTTTTATTTTATTTATGCTAATTTTAATCTCAAACATCATATAAATTTCATTTTCAACGGACGATTTTGTTAAAAGAACAGGAATAGATGTTGAAGTATAAAATATTTTTTTTAATACTCTATTTGATACAAAAAAAAAACGAATAGCATAATTTTTCAAAGATGACAATTGATAAGTCTGTGTTGAGTTGTTTCTGTTTAATTAGAATACCTTTATTATAAGAAGTCGATTAATACCATGTGCAAAAATAAATTATGTAGCAAGTTCTAAGGAAGAAACAAACGGATTAAATCACAACTAGTACAAATCTAGACAAACATTCTCTCTACATAACCCTTTTATTTTTATCATGTCATGCAATAAAAAAAAGAGTAATCGTTTTGATATTTTCTTTTTTCTCAAACATGTTAACTGAGTTGCAGAATAGAGATAGATAAAATTGCCGTGCTGCTGTTCACACCTACGCTACATTGATCTGAGCATTGAAGATCATGTGCTTACAATATCCAGATCTTCGGGCGATACTGCAAAAACTATTGGCAGAGCAAAACAAGACAGAGGAATGTGAGACGCGTTGGCGTGAGCAGAGGCACGAAGAAATTATATCCATCTTTGTTGTAGAATGCATTCACACACAGAATAGTCAATTCATCATATCTTTCGTTGTTGCATGGGTCCATCATATTCTAATTGAATAAATATAAGCCACTTTTGTGTATCGATATACGTTCAGTGAACAATTGACTCTTGATGAAACAACTAAATTAAAATTACGCTTTGAATTATTTATTAATTTCTCTTGTATACCATTGAATGTGATATTTATCATTAGTAAAAATGGAAGACAAAAGAAAGATCCCATTCAACCAGTCACAAATTTGATATCACTCAAAAATATATGAAAGTTGAGAGAAAACAAAGACACTTGATGATATTTTAATAAGAAATATGCATAATTCTATAGTAACAGCATTATTTTTTCTTAATATAATGAATAAATTAATACTTTTTAATTCTAATTGTTAATGGACATCGATTATAAGTTAAATTCGTTTCAGAATGAAAGTAATTCATACATACTTTGCTTAAACAAGAATCTTGCTTAAGCGACATTCAAATAGAAAATTAGCTTTCAGTTTTGATAGTCTTGTCATTCTGGCAAATCGTCAAAACAGAAGAAAAACGTTCGAAAGCCCAATAATGAAGCAACAACTGGTTGGTCAAATGTTTTGACTGGTACTGGTATAATCACCAGTAGCTTTATATCAGAGATGAAACCGGTTTGAAAATTTTACCTGTACTAGTTCTACCTGTGTATAGTGATATTTGATATAGTTAACGTCCGCCAAAACCTTCCCAATGCATTCTCTACGAAATACCATTAAAACACAGTGGAAGTCTTGAAGAAATTTCTATAATAGAAGCAGAAAAGTAAGTAAGATAGATCGGCCGCTCTGGAATTCGTACTGGACCGAACTGAACGAGTTGGTAATCGATACCGGTTCCATCTGTTTTTCAGTCTTCCTTGAATCAACGCTTGGATCGAAAAATCGCTGGAAAGTTGTCAATTTGCAATGAAATATTTTCCTAACAAACAATATTGCTCAATTTTTTAGCAATACCTTTGACCCATTTTTTTCGCCTGCCCAATACTCATTATATTCATGAACTTATTCGAAGAAGCATATTAGTAATCATTATCTCTAAAGTAATTATATATTATGTTAAGATATGCAAACGTTCTACTGAATATGAATCTACTCATATATTATCACCAACAAAGAGGAGTAGTATGAAGATCTGAAAAAAATATTATTCGGATTCATAGTAGTAGTTTTTTATTCGACAATCTTAACCCCGCAGTTTGAAACAAGCACTATTCGGTGCAGAATAAAATTCTACACATAACCCAATCATATAATTAGAAAGTCAAACCAAGTCCATGAGTGAATATTAGGAGGAAAACTCGAATCTGCTGCTAAGTTTCCTTATGTCAACATCGAGTTGTATTAGGAAACAATTTCCTACACCATAAAATTATGTAGTTCGATGTTGACACCAGTGTGAAATTTCATGGAGAATGATATACGCAAACGATCATTATAAATAGAAATTTCTTTGTTCTATTATTTGAGAGTCTGAAACAAAATTAAAGAAACAAAAAGATATATAGAACATGATGACCAGAAATAGTTGTATGCTGAGCTTTTTTTCTTGGAATGCTTAGGATGTAGCAGACATACCATGATTTGTTGAACAAAACAAACAATAAAAAAACGAAGAACTGTAGTAGAGTGTGGATGTAGGTTAAACGATTTCTCACATCCACACCACCCACATCCATCCATACCCTATCGTAGGATAGACACATTATTTCAACCAAGCTTGTATTCAAATGTGTATTTTAGTTTTTATTCAATAATATTTAAGATATCATAGGATGAATTATTACTGGATAGATAATTACTTCATACCAACCTACAATCCAAATAGTGTATTCGTTGCACAGTTGAAGATCGAGATCTGTAAAACATATAACATCAAATGGTAAGGCACTCGATCATAATAGTGCATTCTATTCATATATTTTGCTTGAATCTAATCAATGTTTCAGCATAGACAACGTATTAAAATAGTATCTCATAGATAAATAATTCTCAGTATCAAACTCTTATTCGATTGTATGTTTTATGGAAAATCAAAGATCTAATATTTATAACATAACGAATAGTAATAAGGTCAAAGAATAATTAGTTAATAAAATGCACCTCTTCGAATATTTTGCTCAGTTGATATCAAGATTGGACATCTGTAAAATGTCCCATCATCATACAATTTTCATACAGTTTAAATTGTCAAGTTTCTATTTGAATATGTTATCTAGTCCCAAGAAAAAGCATCAAATGTTGTAGCATTCATATGAGGCTTACTGGAAAAATAAATGGTTCACAGCAAGAAGAAGTTGATGTTCAACAGGAAGACAAAGAATGAATTTATAATTGATGATTGTGTAGAAACCGAACTATTCATATAATATTTAAATATCTATTCAAATATCCTGTTTAAAAATAACGATTTTTAATCAATGTCATAGTTGGGTGTGGGAGTGTGCATGTGGAACTCATTTTACCCAGGCCTATCCACACCCCACACCCACCCCACCAAATAAAAGTAGAACTAATGTCTATCACTTTTTTTCAAAAGAATTGACATCAGAATAACTTTCTGTGAAAAAAAAACCAAGCAATTTACATCTTCTTATTTGGCGCATGTTTATCAACTGAAAACAGTATTCTCTTTGAATATACGTTGTAAACGTAACGATCATTTAACAGCGCCATCTATCAATGAAAGGATTGAAAAGTAACTTTCGTTTCAAAAGTATAAAAATATCTAGTGAAATGAAACGCGTTTCATATAATATTAGAATGGTTTACTATCTCTCAATATTTCAATTCATTCTCTGTATTATACCAAAATCCTAGAGAACAAAGACAAACGTCTTGTGTTCGTTATTAACGACTAGAATAATTTCAAATAACTAACATAGCATACATAGAATAAGATAGGGTACTACTGCAGTTTAAGTACACCGCGACATCCTCACACTTTGATGTACGCTGTCAATTAAATCAATTAATGTAGAGAGTATAGTTAATCTGCAGTGGAACCTAAGATTGTTAACCATTGTTTTATATTTTCTTTTAGAAAATTTTCTTCATCTATTATTTAATTAATTCAATGTCAACAATGTGGTTTGATGAAGATACAAGCGAAGATGAAGAACCAAAAATTAAGCATATAGAAAAAAGTGAAATCGAAAAAGAAGAAGATTTCTATTATACAAATAAAAGATGTTCGTGTGAAGAAGGATGTTCGACTCGATCTTGTCTTTGTTTTAAACATGGAAGTGGATGTAATTCATCATGTGGCTGCGATGAAGACTGTGAAAATATGTTTAATCATCTTGAATATTTTTTTGGTGAAGATAAACAATGTGCTGCTCATCCATGCTTTGCACAATGGCTTATGAAAAAGGCAAAAGATGCCGATGCACTTCAAATAATTGATCGTGATAAATTACGTCGACGTATTATGAAATGTCACAAGTAAATAATTCACTTATTGTTTTATATCTTAAATTTAAATTTTTAGCTATGCAGAAGAATGTGAAGATTACAGTTATGAAGAATGGAAGAACAAAGATGAAGATGAAAAATTAATTGATACTCAAGAATTATTTCGAAATCTTATATCGAATGTTAACGGATATTTGTATTATTCATTTTGTCGTAATGAAGTTTGCGACAATGGTAATGACTGGCATTGTGCTGAATGTCGAAGATGTATGGATTGGAGAGTATGGCATTGTTATTATTGTAATCAATGTATGTGTTTCGGAGAGTAAAAAACATTCCGTCATCTTTTTTCGAATATTAAAAAAATACTATGAAAATTTTTACTTTAGGTACTTATGGTGCCAGTTTACCATGCGAACGATGTGGAGATGTTGATGGTGAATTTTCTGATTGTTATTAAAAATTTAAAGAAGGTTTATTAGTTGTTGAGATCATTTTATTATTTTTTCTTTTTGACATAAAAAAACGCTTTGTCTCTTATTGTAATCCTAATTCTTATGTTATTTGAAAGAAAAACTTAATCATTAAATTGTAAATAAAATGATTTTTTTCAAAGAATATTTTCTTATTTGGAACACAGATTTTTTGACAATACTGTTATTCGAAATGTAAGCCGACAAGCTTATCAATAACAACCAGAACTAAATAATTCTTTAGATAGGAAAAAGAAAGTTTTGTCGATTTCAAATGAATGAACTAAAGTTATATCGACATTTGAATCCATAAAAATTTGGATGAGTAACAATGTACATTAAATATTTCTTTAGCAATAAGACGAATAACTTGGTCAAAAGTTCAGATGTTTATATCAATAAATCTTTAACATCATTCTATGAAGTTATTTAATTAAAACTAATCAGTATTGATTCTAATTGTATTGAAAATATGTTCCTGCCCATGATAAGCATTAAAAACGTGTGCTTCTCACAAAAGAAAATATTCATCACCGGTTACATGAAGATCGTTAAAATGCTTTTATAATAAAATACTGAAGGAGTGTGAGACAGACAAGAAGCTACAACCTTATGCAATGGCTCAGAGACAGTTTTTTCTAATTATTGTTTATAGTCTCGACTGTCTTTAATATTCTTATGCAATGATATGCCGTAAAACTTTTTACACGAATTTAGAAAATTTGAACGAGTAAGATTGCCGACCTTCAATTTATTCAAGTTTCTAAAGTATATATTTTTTGCTTAATTTATTAGTATTTTGTGGACGATGAGGATGTAGGTGTCCGTATGTGTGCTTTTTTTTCTAATAACATCCAGACTCTTCCACACCGTTATATAGAATTTATCAATTCCAATAGTCTTTTTATAGTTCAATTCCTGAGCAGTATTCGATGGAATATTTTTGTCATATTTATTAATCTATTAAATATTTGAGAATATAAGTTCGAAAAATATTCTTCTAATGTTCTCCCAAATGCATTGTCTATTCTTTCAGTGTATTAATTCGAACGAATTTTATAGCGTTCTAAATTTTGAAATGAAGAGAAACTATTGAAAATCAGTCATGAAAGTTCTTAGCCGATGAAGGAACCTCTCTAATGATAAAATTCACAACTATATTAACTAATGAGATCTATTTGGAACGAGACATTTCACTTTTTCCTTCTATACCAGAATAATTGTACTGTCACCTTTTTTAATATGAAAGTATGGCTTGATACGACGGAGCCAACATTTATCAATTTACACATACTACCACAGCCGAGATATTTTTTATGATGTCTGGTCTTGTCACAATGGCTTCTAGGTCATCTTTATTCATAAAAAAGAAAATTTATATGTGGTCAAAATTAACAGATGGAATTATATAAAACATTTCTTTTTACCAAATTCTTCATTGATATTTGTGCATCTTTGTGCAAAGCTAAACAGACTTGTCAACCAGTCTGTTCTAATAATATTAGGTTATCTGTAATACATTATCAAACAGTTTAGTTACAAAGATTGATTGAGTATCAACAATCCGCAAGGCAAGTATTATTTCATCATTCCTTTATTCTAAATCGTCTTTTTTAATTTTCCTTTGAAATTAAAGAAAAAAGATGCTTCTGCTTTGTTTTTCATTGACAAAGTCAGGTTGGCCTGAGTACTATTTACCATAATGATGCTTGAATGTAAAAACTGATTGATATATTTATATTCTCATTTTTCTTCTCTTCTAAATATTGAATCTTGTAGACTTCATTTGAATCGAGAAAAATTATTTCATGCTTTCTTGTGAAATCCTTCTCCAATTTCTGTTGATGATTTTATCACTTATACTATACACTTATATGGGTGGTTTAACATCGTGTTTGCATCGAAACAAGGGAAACAGCTTACTTGACTCAGATGAATATATACTTACTAAATGTATAATACAATCGAAATTATGTATTATAATATCGTTCCTACAAAACACACAATTAGGTGCGACGCTTTTCAGGTCATCTTTTTCGAACGAAAGTAGAAAATTTTCGGAATACTTTATAAAGAAAAATGACTAAAGCATGTTTGCTGCTCTGCGCTATTTCAAATTCGAAAATTTTCCCATTGCCTTGTCTTATCGTGCAGGCAAGCTGTCCTGTAAGGAGGCCTGGTCAACAACGAACAACATTAAATTTGCTCATGATCGTATGAATCTGATTAGTAAAGTTAAAGACGGTTGTGTCATTCGATATTCATTTTGGGTGTGAACTTCAAGAGAAGAGTTTGACTTACACAGACATCCTTGCTTGCCTTATCCTGGTCAAATTTATTATTCTTGTAAACAAGAGAGTATTCTTCGTTTGTCTCGAGAGAAAGAGAAAAATAAAAAGCTTGTCGAAATACTGACAGCCAGTCAAGACAAATGTATGGAATTGCAACGTACTTCTGAAAGAATCTTCGTTATATTAGTCTAACAGTTACAAAAAAAAAACAAATTATTCATTACTTTTTTCATGTCGATAGACAAATGCATGTCATACCAGCTGTTCTTTCTGTTTCTGATTACCGTTGTCGAATGCAAGAATACTAATGGGTGTGGGTGTGGATGTGGATTGGTAACAAAAGTGAATGTCCACTCATTTCTACCTCCACACCCATGACCATGATCAATTGTCGAATCAAAGATTAGAGTAGAAAAATTCTTGAAACATAGTCATCCCGATTTCAATGTTGTTCCGGTTGAATAAATCTTACGAGTGTTCTACTTATTGAAATAAAATCTAAATAAAGTAAAATTGTAGGTTGTGATGAACAATTCTCAAGTTTACTTGTCAATGTTTTGAGATTATATTTCAAATTTCTAATAAGATCCTATGATAATTGTTGACGCTTTGTAACCGTAGAATTCTATAAAATAACACTAAGTTACAATGTATTTGGACAAAATTCACTATTTTAAAAGAATTTTATTAGTAAGTTTCCTGTTACAGACGTATCTTACCGTCATAGTATTAATTTCCGATCAAAATCATAATGTAAATTTTTAATTCAAAATCTAGAAAAAGAAGATAGTTGCTGGTTTCTGTTGTCAATATCTGGCAAAAGCAAGGATTTTCACCGGTGGACATTTGCTACCAATTTTCAAATGATGTAATTCTGCTTCTTTTTCGAAGTTTATCTCTCAGTTAAATTATTCAACTTTTCATTTATCGGCTATTAAAAGAATGCTTTTACATGATTCTTGGCGCAATATCAAGAAAGAAAGTAACCATTTTAAAAATTGACAAATTCCATTAGTTTCTTGTCAAGAAACTGTGTTTATTTTTTGAATTTTAGCTTAGAATAAAAAAATGAAATCTTTTATTTAAAATTCAAAGCCCAAAATTTTTCCACGTGTCTGATGTCAAAATTTCTCAAGTGCAACGATTTTCAACAGTGAAAACTTCCGCCTATTTGAATATAAAAGAATTCTTATTCATTTTCGAATTCTGCACTTTATTAAAAAAATTTTGATTTAAGATTGAAACGTATTTCAAAGAAGATTTCCAACGTTTTATTTTCTCATTGTCTAGCGAACAGAATCATTTTCATAGCATACAATTTCGCGTTATTGCCACTGCAACAAATAAAAAGAAAATAAAGCACTTATTGTCCAATAAAACAGAGACGACTTTTCTTACTTTCTTGTGTCAAAGTTTTTGAAAAACAAAATTTTTATAAGTGAGAACTTCAAAAAAGAAAATTTTTAATTTTCACATTAAAGAACGAGGATGTTGGATTTCTAGCACTATAATGAACTTGTAATTGAAATTAAAAAATTAAGTTTATAATTTGAAAATAAAGTGCTTAATCATATCTAAATGAACGAGAACAAAATTCCACTTGAATTTTGCATTTCCAGAATCTTAACTTCGATTTCATGCGAGCAGATAGGTAAATCAATCGACAAGTACTATTTTCAATATACCACTGAACAGTCGTACAATATTCTGATGCGAACAATATCGATCGAATCATAACAATATCTAAATGAATAGTAAATAACGAAAACAATAAATTTGATACAAGAATAGGAAAGCGAAGATTTTCAATTCAATCACTTTGCGCTACCTTATAGTTATGATACTCAATTGAACAACAAACCACAGTTGAGCTTATGCCTTTCGAGTTTATCATGAAAAAATTGTCTTTGATCGATCATCTATTTTCATAGATTCATTCAACAAGTTCATCAATCGTAAGAAGCAGACTCTTCCTGATTGCATCGATGAACAATATTTCCTTTGTCTCGTTTCTTTAGACTGTAGTCTCCATCATGATTATTGGCTGTTATGCAAACTTATACTATCGAACTCGAAAACAGCATGAGTACTGATGGACAAAGTTGAACGAAGAAATAGCTATCGGATATTTCAAAAAAAGAATTGACCTATCATTTATTTTATATTTTTTCCTCTGCTATACATGTAATCGTGCTTGCTTTTTAATGAAAAGATTTCTCATTGAATCCTCTACAAGAATATTTTAAGCGTATTTTTTTCACAATGTAGAAATACAAAAACGCACCTGAGATAATCTGAATGCCCTATAAAATTTCAACTATATAAAGTTTCTTTTTCAGAAGATTTTCAATTTTTGTGTAAACGCCTAAAATAACATGAAAATTTGTCTGAACAAGTTTTCTATAATGCCATACAGTGTACTCTCCCTCTCTCGTTATACACAGTAAAATCCATTTCAATTAAATATTAAGACATAGGGTGTAGGTAACTGTCAGCATGGGTATGTGTGTGGAGTATGTATGAATAATATAATTAGATTCACATCGTACATATTTTTAGTTCACAATTTAGTTCATCTATGTTACAGCCACAAATTAATTCTGAACATTTCACAACGCCAGTAAACAGGACGAGCAAGTTTCGACTTGCCTTCTGTCGAAAACCATGATTCCATCTGCCTGCAGTCTAAATAACTCGCATAATTGTAGAACGATTTCATGCGAATATTCAAATGAGTGAGTTTTGGCAAACGTTCGACAAGTAGACAAAGTCCTTGTTGAAAATTTTCTAGCGTCTGTATAATTGTCGATGGCATTTCGTAGGACAACTTCAAGTGATTTAATTGACTATCACCACAAAGATCGACGAGTAATTTCGCAAAATGAAAAAATTCCATTTGCTCGGAGACTTCCATATCCACTAGCTGAACTTGACGACTCAGGAGAATTCGAAGTTGAGTATTGGCCGTCAGAGGAAGTAGAAATTTTGAAATGCTTACAAACGGCAAAAGTTGCTAGAAGAGTATCAATGAAATTTTTGACGAGTTAGGCAAATAAGATTTGAGAATCGTACTTACAGATGAAATGAATAGATTTTGAAGATATGGTGCTCGTTCTACTACATAAAGTAGTAGTGGGATGATATATTCGAAGGATCTATTGAATAATAATTGTATCGAGTCGAATCATTTCTTTTTAATCTTTTACTTACTGTTCCAGGTCGGTATTTTCATTGATGGAGAAAAAATTGAGTGTTCGTAAATTAGAAAAACGTTTAACAGAAAATAGATTTTGCTGTTGATTTATGTTTTCTTTCTTGGAGGGTTCAACGTAATGGAATAAGTTCAACTAAAAACAAAGTACAAAATACAGCTGACTGCTGCTCATTTTACTGATGACTATAAACTTGTTCATAGAATCAACAATGACTGCGTTCGTCATAACTAATGTTCTCACTAAATAACTTTTCAAACAATCGTTTGTGAAAACAACAGATATATCTCACATTTGTCTAGATCGTTAGTTTGAAAAGAGTGACCTACTGATGAGCAATCGTGTATATTGAATGTATTGAAATTTCGGTGTTCGTAAGGTATTGGATACTGAATGTACATTTCTCGGTAGGTAGCATCTTGAAAATAGTTGATATGAGCATTGAGTAATGACATGCAATCTGCAAGAAATAGATCAATTGCTTTATTATTTCTGCCGAGTACCATCAGTTTTGAATTCCAAAACGTGAACATAAATCGTACGGTACAAATCTTCGACGATGACATCAATAGCCAGCGTTTCAGTTCGTGCGCAGACATAAAACATCCATCAAATGATTCAAGATCAAAACTACCACGAAGTGTGATTTCTTTGAGTTGACCTTCACGATAGACATTAGTAAGCCACTCCAATGGCCGGTTCAATATCACCGGCCACAACGAGACACACACTTGTTGCAAGTTCGGAACACGATCGGGTATCACTGAAGTTATTGTTTCTGTGTTGTTACTAGAAAAAATTGGCATTATTTTTGTGCAAAAAGTCAAAATAATTGATTATATCTTTCAATAAGAGCAGCACTAGAGATGGATGCAGCATTTTGACTTCGCGATTTAGATGGCATGAAATATCTAGGCTTATCTCGGTTGAAAGTTGAAACTTGTTGTACGTCAATATATTATGATTATAGGAAAGAGTATATACACAAATAAGAGTCAACATAAATATGTAAGTGGCTATTTTCAAAACGTAATCTGTTTCTGACGTTGACGATTCTTTATATGTGCAATTTGTTACGTTAGCTGACCTATTTTTCTATATACATGTAATTTTCTTAATGGAAATCATGTTTTTTTTTCTTTTCTATAAACAAGCAGATGAGATACAAAAACAAAGTAGAAATAACATTTTCTATTTGATCTGTATAATTAGTATAACTCTTTGAGAAATTGAATAGCAAAAAAAACAACTTCTTTTTGACTTATTTGAAATCAATATTGCAAGCAGAACTAATCTTTTTTTGTGTAAATGAAATAATTTCCATTGAAAATAATCACCTAGGTTCGTTTCAATCCACTATTCGAAAGCTTGCAAAAATCAAGCTAACTTAACTTTTGGATTGAAAACACTATATAGATTAGTTACTTACTTGAACGGATTTTTAAAGCTTGAGAAGCTGATAGATAAGTGACGTAGACGAGGTACATGACCACCGTTAAGCAGAATTGTAAGCAACCGCCAAGGAAATTCGTTAATAGTAAGTGTTTGCAAGTTCTCAGCAATGGGCAATGAAATTCGATCAAAGTTAGGTATCACTGTTTGACCTCTCACACATAAAAAGTGAGAAATTGATAATGATTGGAGTTTCGGTAGTGAACTGACGATAGTGGACCAATAGTACACATTATTTAGATAATGAGATTGATTGCCAAATATGAAATCCATAGTCGACAACTCTATTCCTGGTTCGATAGACAATGTACGAACGCCAGGTACAAGATGAAAGCAATTGACTAACGATTCAAGTGTGTTCCGATATACGCCGACAATTCTAATAGCACGTAACGTTGCCGTAAAAGCAGATAAGAGATTGTTGTCAAAGCAACGCAACAACCAATCAACAGCTCCGATACATCGGTGTTCTGAAAGATGAAGAGAAACGATTTGTGATCGATATTTTGGAAGAATATGTGTAATGTAATGATGGTAGATATTAATGCTCATGTCATCATTGCTGGGCAGGTAGAATGGAAGTTGACGAAGAATGGACACAAAACGAGCATTGAGATTATCAAATGCAAAAATGAGATCATGTGGAGCAAGATATTCAAAAATCTCTCGGAATAATTCCACTGAGAAATCTTCGAAACGTGTTGTTAGTGATGTATTGTTGTACATATTGTCAACTATTCTTCTCATATATAAATCGATGCGTATATATATATAATCGATCGTCCGACGTTGAAAACAATGTCCGTCTATCTTATGGTGAAGCGAAGCATCGGTCAATCACATACATTTGACCACATATTGTTTTACTTCCTACTGAACTATATTCAACATGTGTCTTGTGCGTGTGTTGTTGTTTACATGAGATAGACAACGAATTGACATATCTATTTCATTACTAAACGATGTGTCCTTTTAAAGTTTTTCTTCTAGATAAAACTCGTCGTGAGTATAGATTAAGCCAGAAGTAGTTCTATTATATTTTTCTTGTAGATGCCTATATTATTGTGGTAAAAATCTAATTGTATTTCATTTGTTTTGAAAAATCGGTCTTAAATCTGTTGTTTAACTATTCCAGGCGAACAAAAGATAACTGAGGACGCCCAACCTGATTAGTCTCAAATGTCTGCAGTATCGTTCGGTCTAGTCTGAGATGGCTTGCAGTTCATCAGGGGTGGTCGTATTAACGAAGAATGTCGTGTAACTAAAAATAGACCAGTCCAGACTGTGTCCACAGCAAGTCATGACTAGTCTGTTTCGTCTATTTATACTGTTCAGACTTGTCAGTGAAACAAAAAGTCCACAAAGATAAGTGACGTTAGATCGACTCGTTCATCTATTCCGACAATATTAAATACCTGACTAGCCTGAACATTTCTCAATAATGATGTACAGTAGTGTCAAGCCTCATTTAGATTAGTCTAAACTCTACAAACAGTTCCTATTTCTTCAACATTATTTTTCAGACAACAATTTAGTCTGTTTAGTATTGGAATTACTTTAATTATTTGCAAGAAAATGTTGATTATTGAAATTATTGCTGACGCTATATAATGGAGAATTAAATGCCTTTATAAGATAAATCCGATAGAAAAATATTTATAATTCTATTTTAAGTTTCAGTAAGAAGTGCTTCTCAAAAGGAGCAGTAACGAGAATAAATTTTTGAATATTTGATCATATGTAACTACCCTATTTTGACCAGTCTAGAAAAAAAATAGGCGTTGATTACTCAGACAGGAATAAAGATATTCTATATTTGTATAACAATACTACAAAAATATGCTGAAGCACAAGAGAATATAATAAAAAAAGCAACTGTTAGCGTCGTAACGAGAGTTATCGATTTGCGTCCTTAAAAATTTCTAAATTGCAAAAAAATTAGGAATAATGTTATTTGAGGAGTAATTTTGATACCTCTTTATATAAGAGGTATACTCTAGTTTAATTATTAACTTTTAATTTCGCTTTGAAATTGGATTTAAACTACAGAGCTTTCGTTTATTTTCAAGCTAAAGTTGAAAAAAGGCTTAATTTAAAAGAGTATGTGGGTGGTGTCATCTCCGTACATTCCACACCCACACCCTTTTGTTCTGCTGACTTCGATCAATGGAGTCTAGACACAAGTATATCGATTGAAATGCGAAAAGTTCTTCTTATTTTCAATTGCCATATGCTACCAATTTTGTTTTTCTCTAAGAATATATGACTTGACATTCGTTCAGTTGAATAGATATTTAAAAACCACAAGATAAATTCATTTCAATAGCACATCTCATAGTCGGTACTCATATTGGTACCTATTTGTTTCCGTTGGTGTTTTTTCATTCGCTATCCATCTCTCTTTCTCTTTCGTTATCTTGATTGATTTTTTCGTATTCATTCGCGTTCGAGTGAGCGTAGAGAAGAGTCAAATAAAGCTATATCTTATATTACATTTTATGCTCTTATCTATGCATTTGAAAACAATGAGATGATCGTGATCGAGCAGACAAGCCAGATTCTTTTTCTGACGCTATATAAAGTATCAATTCAAATTTGGTTCCATTCATAAAAATAATTCATATAAAGCCTGAAAATGGTTGATTTCAATATTTTTTCAAATATTCTTCTAGCAATGTTTTCCGTCGTTATTTCAATTAACGGCCAACAATCAATCGTTTTTTTTTCTCCACTAAAAAACACAGGTGAAGAATCGGCAACACATAGCAATCTAAGTTTAGGAACAGCAATTGTTAACACGTAAATATTGACAATATTTAATTACAAAGATAATCAAATTTATGTGTATAGTGCATTGTCAAATGCTAATGAGAATGCCTTAACACCACAAAAATGGATATTCTTCTTTGTACCCATCATGATGCCTTCGTTAGATGGCGCCAGCAATGCTACGTGGATATCTGTAGTCAAAAAGGAAGTAAGAGTTAAAATCCTGCTGGGGAATCTGAATGTTGAAGAGATAGCTCGGAAGGCGATTATGGCAAAATATGAGAATGCAGTAAATCAATATGCGAAATTCTGGACCGTGGCACCGTTGATGATCGACTCGTTTACCGTCTTTATTGTCAAAGGGAGTAATTCACCGGTAGAAGGCATTTATCATTATTCGGCAACACATCCACATGCATTATCAATGACGTTTTGATTTCACTGTTCATCAGAACAAATCGCTGAGCTGATTGTTGAAAACATTCTTGATGGCTACTACGAGATCAAGGTAGCCTTTTATTTCGCTGGATTCAAACAAGTGTCAACAAATTTCATTTCAATCGCCACTGATCAATTAAAAAATGTTTTGACTAAAACTATTGCTGACGGTGGAAAGAAGAACGCTTTGTACATTCACCGGAATCAGGGATCCGCATTCGTCAGTAAATATCTGACAAATGTGAAAAAAGATGATTTACATGGAAAATGCAAAAATGAATATGTCATCACTAGCGGTCGGATTAGAAGATCAATTCATTTCATTGCTACAACAGGGTAAGCTTGTTCCTTCACAGCTACACATTGTATGTCAACATTTGTCCTGTTTTAGGTATGGCTTTTTCGAATGAAACAAAATTGGATGTGAAATTATATGCTCAAATATGGTCATCGACGGATTGAACTCTTGATCGAATAACCAATGAAATAAACAAAGTGTTTATTTATAATAAAACGGAAACAAAAGGACACAATTTTTCGGACAATTATTTTGATTTTGATAAACAAAAATATCAGACATTGTCTAGTTCTGATTCTGGTGAAGGCAGTGCATCTTTCTTAGGGTTTAGAATTAGAGGATCTGGTTCATCTTCATCTTCAAGTTCATCTTTAAATGAACTGTCAGCTACATCACAATCACTATTCTCCGCCACCGAAGTACAGCATTTGCTAGCCCAAGAGTCAGTTGACATTCAATGGGCGGGAGAGAAGTTCACGCCAAAATCGTTCAATGTTTACAAATTGACAGACATCACCGATCGTTTACAAGTGGCTATCATCGCCAAACAGCTGATTGCTGATAAACCAACTGGTGCTATTGTAAGAGGAGTTAGCACATTGAGCACGCCTATTGTTTCATCCTCAAAAAAAGGTCAAACACTTTTAACTGGAAATTCAAATTTATTCTGCAGGAATACTATCGCCAATACCTTGGCTATTATGTCATGGTCAAGCTGTGTCTCGTATCGAATATGAACGCTTGTTTTCTGTAATTGGTACAACGTATGGTATAGGCGACGATTCAACAACATTCAACGTGCCGGATTTTCGTGGTCGATTCCCCTTAGGAGTCGATGAAACGAATTTAACCGTTGCTAACGCAGGAAAATTAGGACTACTGGGTGGTAACTCATCGCATGAATTAACAGTTAAACAATTACCACCTCATAAGCATGATGGTGGCAGTTATCGAACCGGAACAGATGGCTATCATACATATGGATATCATGATCCTGGATATGATCATGGTGGACGAACTGGAAGTGAAATGTATGGCAGAGGTCATTATGAGGTTCACGGTACAAATAGGCGTACCAATGAAGATGCATCTCACTCGCATACGATTGCACAAGATACAACACATATAACTATTTACGAAGCTGGTAGTCATTCACATTCAGTCCAGGAGAAAGTGGGTCTACTGGAGATGGAAATTCATTTAGTTTACTATCACTATATCAAACTGTGAATTATATCATATACAGTGATTGAGAAATGATTATTCTTTTTTACACATTTCAAATTTTATTAAGGCAAAAAAATTTTCTATTTCTTTTATTGTATATAGCGTTTGCTACGCAGGTCACGATACATTTGGAAGTGCTCAGAGGAAACTGAATTTGTGCATCCAAGTAATATGAAGAATCGTTAGCTCTAATAAATGCACAAAATGATTAGATTAATGTTAAAAGCTCGTGGAGTACTTTGCTAGTAGAGATTGTAGTAATGTAATCCCGGAGGCAAACGTTAGATTGAACGATGAAAGAGCCTGAAGTGAGGAAGACGAGATAGATGGATCAAAATGACGAATATTAAAAAATGAAAATAAGACTAAGTTGATAAAAGACAGTTTCTTGTTCTTCAATTTTCTTTATTATTTTTTGCTACGTTTCGATCCCAAGGATGCCAGCTTCAAACAGTGACTACCAACGAAACGATAAAGAAATACATACAAACATTCTTTTGAATGAGTGTGAGATCTGGGTGTTTGGATGTGGATGTCGGTCTGAACTAGAAGACACCCACACCCACCCCTTTTGCAATCAAAAAAATTTTTCTTTAGACATATTGTTCGTGATTATTGGCTTTGTATAGTAACATAAATAGGTTTTGAAATTTTTGAATATTCTCTTGAACATCAATTGCCAAATTTTAGTGAATGTTGGTAGGATCATGTAACTTATTAAAAATTTCTTTTTTGTTTTATAAATATGTCATACGATTAATTGTAGTGGATTCTTGATGCACTTATTTGTAATGGTGATGGAATTTACTTGGGTATGAAAACATGTGAATATTTAAAAATGAAACCATAAAATTGGCGTGGCATGTGGACAATACTAACTGTTAGGCAAAAAAAAGAACGTATCAATTAATTTTTAAAAACGAAAAATAATGCGTGTATTGGATCAGTTTACACCACATGATTGGCTTGAATCTGATTGGCATTCAACAGCATCTTTAAAATGTTGGCTTGCAATGTTATTAATAACATGCTTTTTATTTCTTGTCGAATTAGGCACATTCTATTTCAAAATTTATTTTATGGATTCCACCACCACATTTTTTATGTGTGATACGTTTATACTTTTTCTTACTTGCTGGTGGTGTTGCAATGTGTGAAGTGTTTGAATATTTGGATAATCGGGAATGTAAAAAATTTGATCGGCAATCATGGGTCGAAATAGCTATCATAGTAACATAGGTATTAATTGTATTAAAATTTGATTGGAAAAACTGCTACAAAACCATTACCATTTCATATTGTACTTGTTTGGACAGCATTTGCTGTTGGAATTTGTTTTATGGACAATATATCATTTTTGGTTTAAAAGATTTATTCTTTGGGGACAGAGAAAAAAATCTTCAAGTTATTTAAAAGAACAGATGAAAATAGAACAAAGAAAAAAGAACAATTCCTCATTTATTTATTCCAAACTGCTCTTTGTTTTCTTTCTAGTCACCTTCGTGATTCTGTTATTTGTCTCTCTGGTTTTTTTGGTATATCATTTTTGCTGGTGATCAAAGAAATATGTTTTGTTTGTAGTATAAGAAAACAAAGAAAAAGATAAAATTAAGTTGTTTGTTGTTTTGATCTAATAAAAAGCAGAAGAAATATTAATCTCATTTTTTCAAAAAAAAAGAATGATTGATTGGAACAATGATTTGACGTTAAACTGAAACAACTATATCTTTCATTGTTCAAGAATTAATTTCGAAAGTTTTTGAGCAATGATTAGCAATTAAAAAAAAGTGTTTTTCTCGTTAATTAATTAAGGCCCCCCCCCCCTAAAAAAAGTCACTTTTCGTCAGAATGATCGAAATTAAAATAAATGCAAGGGAAGATAGCGTGTGATCTGATCTCTCATAAGCGACACAAATTTTTACTCGACACCTCATTTTTTCCAAAAATTGTTGAAGATTTCCGTCATCCCCTATTTGAAAAATAAGCTGTTTTTGGAAAAAACCGAAAATCTTTTTCGTTTTTTTCTCAGTTCATGATATGTCGGACGCACAATCAAAATTTCTCAGTCCAGGTCCATGTGATGTATTTAAATTTGTTTTTGTTTGAAGGAACATGTCAAGATGCAGTTCCTACCAGATCCCTTTTTTTAAATTAAGCATTTTCATTATATATACAGCCACTTATGTAAATTGGCGCCCATTTTTAGCGGGTGAGTTATTGAACTTCTGATCTCTCTTCTCCGTTTCAAAAGTAAGAATTAAAAAAAAAGGACTCTGGGAGCCACTGCATCTTGTGATACTCTTTCAAACAAAACAAAAGATTTTAATGTATTGAAAGAGCCCGGGCAGAGAAATCTTGTTTGCCAAATGAGCTATTTTTGATCCTTGTTTGGTGCATATCTCTGTCAAACGTCATGGTATCGTGCTGAAAATTTTACCATAGTCTCTCCACTACAGCCCCAACATATCCTGAAAATTTCATACTAATTGAACGTACCTGGACTGAGATAGGTTTTTGAGGGAGCCTGAATTCCTGGCGAAATTGAAACTTAAATTAGAATATTTACATCAAAATATGCCTAAATTTTAGTGTATTCAGCTGAAAAAAAATTCTAATTTGAGGTGAACATTATTTCTGGGTTTTTAAAAGGAAAAGGGACATTTCGCACTACCTTTTAATTGCGATCTCCGGACATAAGAAAAAAGACAGGGTGTTCGGAACTAAGTGTACGGGAGTTCGGAATGACAAAAATCAATCAAAAATTAAAAAACAGGGTGTTCGTAATGAAAGTTGTCTAGAAGATCGTAACGAGCAGCGATAAGCTGATTTTTAGAGATAAAATCCTGAAATTTGACGGGAGTTTGGAATGAAAATGACCGGGAGATCGTAACCATAAAAACAGAGAGATTGTAATGAGAAAAGACAAGATGTTCGAAAATGTGTTCATGTTTGCTCTTCTTTGAGAGATGTTAAATGACTCACTAGTTTTTATTCTAAGATAGTACACAAACGCCGTCCTGATGAACACAATGCTCTTTTTCAACACAAAGAAAAAAGAACTTAGATGGAGATATAGAGAAAGACACAAGAAATAGCACAAACAAACAAAAGAAGAAATATTTCAAGAAACAGAACAAAACAATAAGAAAGAACACAAACATTTTTTTGGTTTTAATTTTGATAAAATACAGAGATTTCTATCATAAGAGAAAGAACACAAACATCTTGTACAGTTATTATAGCGTTGAGAGCAGAGACAGAGAAAGACAGATGCTGTTCATATAATCACAAAAATGCTAAGTGAATGAATCCCATTCTTGATTTTAACGGGTGGATCGAAAGTTTTCGCACAAAATGTTTGTTTATATCTGACCCACTTGAAAATATTTCAGACGAGTCGAAAACTATGGATTAGAACCAGAATTTTGTGTTCTTTCTGAATATGAGCTTGGAAATGTTGTATCTATTTTTGTTCAAGAGCAGTGAAGAAATCTTTGAAAGGTCTTAAAAATTAATTTGGACGACGCATCAATAGCTTTTTTCTANCCATTCGCTGAATCTGTCGATGCCAAGAGCGATGAAAAAGCTTCTTGCAATGAGTGCTAGTTGCCACACCAGATGTTCACCATGAATATTGCTCACCCTTGTAAGAAGCTATTCTCTTCGGAACACATAAATACTTTTCTACTAAACAATGCATTTTTGGAATATGCATTGAATGACTAAATAAAATAGGACACGATTCGGTTTCAATTGAGAACTTTCTAGAAATGATTAACGTCAGTTTCCATGATTCTAGTTGTTATGTGACGTAGCAGTGTGGTGACATAATTTTTCTGTGCGACATTTTTCTTCTTTCATGTTGTGCATGGATAACACATTCTGTATTTCTTCATTCCTTAGTGTGCGTTCTCTTGGTGATGTATTCTATCCTGGTTGTTCATCCCCTATGAGATTTTTTCCTCGTGATCATCATCATTCTTGAAAGCTCTCTACTTGAAAAATTCCTCCTTGTTGATGACTCGATATATGCATAGCTTTCACCAGAAAGAGAGAGAGAGAGAAAAGAAAGGAGAATCAGCATTTTCCCCTCGACTGAAGGGAGGGTAGTAGAAAATAAAATGCGCTTGTTTGCTTGCTTGCTTGAGGTAAAAAAAACATATGAGAGGTTAAGTTATTTTTAGGCTTTTCGGTCGTTTGATGAAACTTTGCAATGGATTATCGAGAGCCAGAAATCCAGATCTGAAGTTGGCTTTTCGATCCGGGCTTTCATTGGCCGAAAATCGGACCAATCAGAAACGAACTTTTTTATTTTACCACTTTTCGACGGTTTGATGAAACTTTGCCATTCCCTCGACTGAAGGGAGAGACATACGAAATAAAAATGAGTTTGTCTGTCTGTCTGTCCGTTTGTGGCAGATCAAAGAGGGTGTGGGATGGGTATGGGTGTGGATGCCGGGTGTGGGTATGGGTGTGGGTGCGGGTGTGTGTGTATCAAGGGGGAAACGGCGTACTTCAAGTCGAGAAGTACATCAAAGTACAAAAGTAGTCTAAAGTAGTTTAAAGTAGCGTAAAGTAGCTTGAAGTACTTCAAAGTAGCTTAAAGTAGCTTAAAGTACTTTAAAGTAGCCAAAGTTACTTCAAGTACAAAAGTCCGCCGTTTCCCCCTTGCATAAATATCAAATTATTGGTGGCATTACGCATACTAAAGATGGCAATGGTAAATTTACTCCTCATACATACTATGGCTATGAGACTAGTTTGTATTATTTAAAATTAATTTATGAAAAGCAGACTAGTTTTGATCAAGTTCCTTTAAATGAACAAAGTTTTGGATATATATCATTTAATTGTGGATGATTTCGTATTCAGAATTACTTAATTCATATGATGGAATATTTGGTGTTAGTGGAATATTAAAAGATTTATCTGCTGGTGAAGAATCTTTATTGAATCATTATAAAATTTTTCAAAGATCTTACTATCTATCACTTTTTGGTGGTTAAAAATTAAAATTTAATGTAAGTGATGATTTTGTTATTAAAGATACCAAAAAAAGATTGGTTTGATACAATTGTTATTAGGAGTCGAGGAATACTTAAAGACGATCGAGCTGTTTTAATATTTTTTGATACTGAAGAACTATTAGAAGAATTTTATAAATCTTATTCAGGAGACTTAGGAATTATTCATTTCTATATTACTCAAAATAAGATTATCGATGACAAAGGAACGAGAGAGTATAAGGATGATATTGTAGAGAAATTGATTAAAGATGAATATGCTGGACATCATGGACATGTTATTCTTTTGACTAAAGAATTTGGAAGAGATGTTGATTTTCAAGCAGAAGCAAAAGTAAATGACAAAGGTGGTATTCATGTTATTCAAACATTTTTCTCTATGAATGTGAAACAGGAAATTCAAATTAAAGAAAGAACAGCAAGAAAAGATGAAACTGGTAGTTTATTAATTGATCTTGTGTCTAGAACATCTTAAAGGAGATAATGGACAAAAATAAAAATATGTAGCAAAAGATATGACATATAGGGAGTTAGATAAACAGAGAAGGGAAATAGAAAATTCATCTTGTGAAAATATAATGAAAATTATTGACAAGAATAAAAAAAATTACACGAAAAAAAATTATCATTTTATCAAGAAACAATTCGTGAATGTAACAATACGAATTGAACGTATTTTATCGAAAAAATGAAAGAATTAAAAAATTTGTCTGCATCAAGTTAAACTTCAATGATGAATAGAATATGGAAGATAGTCTAGTGGTTTATTTTTAAAAAAATCTATTCATTAATTTCATTTCAAATAATAATGTTAAAAGTAATTCTGTAAAGCTAAACACTTTAGAGAATTACGATGTAATAGTTTTTCATCATATCCTTTCATCTAATGCTTCTTCTCTTTTATTTTGTATCTTAATTTCTGTCACTACTATATATGTACTTTCCTTTATGTGTGATATTATCATGAATATTCTCTCCTTCTATCCTGTTGGAACGATTTTTCTTTTCACAATGTCTATTAGTTGTTTTATTTTTTGCTTAATGTTTTTGTAAAGATGAATGTATATCAACCATATCTGACTTGGCTATTATCCGACGTTAAGAGCAAGAGCTACATTTATGCAGCATCAATGAGAAGTCACAAAAGATCTATCAATAAAGACGATACAATATTGACAACTTCAAAAGCTCAACAAAAACTATGCGTCGATCAAATGAAATTATATTGGAAGTACCTTATCCAACCATATTTTAGCAACATCACTCATGAGCAGCTTAGTATTTCGTACTTATATCTAGTCATTAAGACATAAATAAAATTTAGAACAAAACCGGAGATATTGTTTTCTACTTGACATTATTAGTATAAGAAAATCAAACCACATGGATTATGATAATTGAAATCCAAACAAATTAAAATGTTAAGAATAAAAATATTCTCTCAATTAAAATCCATTTAAATGCCATTCATTGTCTTACATTCAGTAAGATTAAATTTTATTAAATCAATTTTATATGTTCTTTCATGTATATATACGAACTGGTCTATAGATTTTTTATCACTTGATACTACTGTTTGTTTAAACACTTAAAAATACCATTATTTATTAGGTGCATTCGCTGTGTTCGATTGCATGTCTATTTAAGTCAACAGTATATTACAATGTTGAAAACACACGGTTTATCAAACAAATTATTATCTCAATATTCAAATAAATGTTGTCTCTGTCCACGATGTGTTTTCTATCTTATAACAGATTGATTAATGAAGTTATCAAGTATCATGTAATATAGTTATTTCTATGGTCCAGATACATACAACAAGGAATATTGGATATATTGATAGACAAGATTTTAATTAATATACGATGCTTATCCACGTTCGGGTGTGTTGAAATACATTCTTTTTTTGTGATATCAGTTATGATCTTTCATTCTATTATAGTACTGAATGTTTTTTGCTTTTTTGTTCTAACGCTTTATTTTCTCACTTTTTATTTTTTGTAAATTTTTTCTGCATTGGAATATTGTCAAAGACAAGAGCTCGTTTCTAGACACCTGTGCATATTGGTACTGATTTTTTCATTTAATATATATCTGAATGCTTTAATACAGCTGAATTTATCTTTATCAAGGAGCTGAGCAATCATCAGGGTGAGGTTGAAGATGTGAGTGAAGATGAGGGTCATGATGGAGTGTGGGTGTGTGTCGTCTCTTTACTCACATCCACATCTCTTTCGCAGATGTACCCACACTCAGAACCTTTGTAGAATTAGTATTGTATCCTCTTGTTAGCGTACATATTCTCTCATAACGACTAACATTATACGCTTTAATGAAGACGATGGTATTGTTTAAAATTGAAGATCAAATTGGACTTTCTTGTTATTTATTGAGCATATATGTGTTTACTTCTTTTTTTCAAAGGAGAGAACTCGAAAACAGAGCAGTGTGGCACTGCTTTCAAATGATTTTATTCAAAAAATTTTCAACAATGAATGGGTAGGTTTTATAAAAGACGCAAAAAGGAAATGGATAGAAGTTTCAAGTCATGCATGAATAATACAAGACGATAGTGAAACACATTGACGCACTCCCATTGTTAGAATATATTCAAGAAATTACATGATAACTTCATTTTTCATCATTTTCTATTCGTAAATCGTGCACAATATAAGCAAAAGAATGTCTATCTGACTCTATTTTCATTTAAATAATAACTTTCTTAAGTAAAGAGGCATAGTTCTTATCAAAAAGTTTTTCTTTCTCACTACAATTCTGAATATTTTGAGAGAAAATTTAACTTCTTTGTTGTCTGCGAGGTCGCATATTTTCTCTCAATCTTTTCAAAACTTGTGTCAACTGAACTACCCATATTCTCATTTAGGCAATTTTTGAATCGTCCTACATCCGTTGGAAGAATGTTGTCAGCGCTCAAATTTGGATCCGAGTTGCTCGCCAGGCGATCATTCCGATATCGATCGTCTTCCAGACTTGAAAATAGATCCTGAAATGAATGAAATCTATACTAACTTTTGTGTCAAATATCGATATAAGACGAATCTCTGACAATTTATCATTATTAGTGGAAAGAAAAGTGCGTCAAAGAATGAAGGCAACAATGCTGTTTGTGATATAGTGTCATGATGTTGAGGCAGGAGAAGATTCAAAACGTTTATTGATGTTGAACCCGACAGGAACTGAGAATCCAAGTGTGTAGCCGGTATTACAGCGCTTGGCCCTAATAAGGACAGCTTTTCAAACGCCTTGAGAATTTCATTTTTTTTTCAAAAATTTTACATACGATGATATAATTTTTTCATATATTTGACTAGAGAAATGTCAGCTGAATCGAATGATGTGAAAATCATTTAATTATCTAAAAAAACAAATGAGTAATTAGCGGTAGTTTGAGAATGATTGAATTTGTCCTTATTAGGAGCTATNACGTAAACTTCAACAAACGTTCAGATAAACTATCCTTCGTGGAGCATTGTAATTACCATAAAGTTAATTTGCAGTAAGAGATAGAATAAGAAAACTTCTTTAAAAATTTTATGAAAATTTTGGAACATGACACCCTGCGTATGGATATCATTGCCTTATCTACACTCACACTCAATATGTTCAAAATGTCGGATTTTGAATATTTATAAATAAAAAAAACGTCAGCAGCATGATATCTATAATTATTAACATTTTAATGTTAATCAAAAAAATAATTTTAGAACTTAATTTCAATAATCTAATAAAGAATATTATTTTTTCATATTTACATAGATTCTCATTTAAATTTTTATAATTTATCATAAGTATGAATAATTCTATTAATTTAATTTGAAATATTTAATTTAATGATACTTTTGATATTACTATTTTTATTAAAAATAATATTTATACAGAGAAAGAAAATTGTTTAGAAACATGCTTAATTAACTTGAGGATATATTCCTGAGTCTTAACATAGCTTTATTCATATACGATTTGACAAAAATAAATCTTATGAAAATTCTTTTTTCAATAAATCATTTTTTTCATATGAAATTTCCAAATTGAAAAATATTAATATGCAAAAGATTTTATATTTAAAGTTATTTGAGAAAAATCTAATTAATTATTTAATAATGATTAAGTAATATGAATTAAAAGACACATCTGTTTCTCGTTTGTAAATCTGAAACAATTACTTTTCAAAAAGAATATACCATATTTTCCTAAGAAGTTTTTTTCTTTTTCAAAAATTGAAGTTTTCAAATAGATTTATCAGATTAAGTTTTTTGTCAAAAAAAAATCAGAAAAAAAGTCATTTTTTTATAAAAATATATCAGTAATATATAGTAAAATGTTTTCTAACTCATGATTAACTTAACTCAACAACACAGAAATTCTATAATTTATAGATGTCTAGTAAATAATCTTAATACACTCGTGAAAATTAAAGTCCGAAAAAGTTTTATACTACAATATGTTTGTTTTCAGATAAATTTGGTGGCAATTCCTGAGAAAACTTGTCAAGATTATTTGATATATATGTGTCGATACAGTTTCATCTCGTATTTTAAACAGTAAAAATTGCAAATTTTCTATCTTATTCCTATCAAAAGTTATTGAAAAATATTTACTCTTGTTTTATTTTTAAATGAATAATATTATTATTATTCATACTCAACAGAAAATTACCTAACATAAGTGAAACAATGATCAAAAAAAAAACTTAGTTCCTTTATTATTAGTATTTAACACTCTCAACGATGGTGAGTGTGAATATAGCTAGGAGTGCAACATTAATTCGGCATCCATATCTACACAATCAATGATAGAAATGAATTTTTTCATTCTATTCTTATTAAAGAAAATCGACCATCAATTCATTTTTATGATATAATATCATATCGCACGGCTTGAATGAATAATCATAAATGAACGATTCAATGTTGGGATGTTTTCATTGCATCTAGAACGAGAGTCCTATAAGAGAAAGATACAAGAGATTCAAAATGTGCTTATTTTCTTAGTGAGATATAAAAAAAAAGACTTCTTTTTTCTAATTTATACAAAAAATAAGAAACAAAACACAAGAACTCTAAATGAAACAAAATATATATATATTTTTTTTTAATAATCAATGTAGTTCAATAAATGCATGCAAAGATTTTGGAATACAATCAATATAGTTTAATTCGTTTTTTTGAATCATTCGTGCGCATAGACATTTCAGACTAAGCTGATTTGGATATATTCGGAAAAGATCTTTAAACTTTTCGTATTCAACACAATCTTCTGGTGCTTTTCCCTGTGCAATTGCATCAAGATGTGCACCACTATCGATAAGTAATGTGAATATTATTTTTATGTCGTTCCATTCTTCCTTGGTAAGTTTTTTAAATTTATTGCTGGACAAAACATGTAATGGTGTATAATGATGACAATCAATGGCATTGATTGATGGCTGGCAGGATAATAATAGTTGAACTACTACTAGACACGGAAATCTTCTGCAAATACCAACAGGAAGAGAATTATGATATTCCATTAAAGATAAATGTAATAACGTTTTATTATCAGATAAAGTACGCCAATCTGAATCAATATATTTTTGAACTCGTTGAAAAATAATTGCTTTTCGTTTTTGTTTATTTTTCTTCTTACATGCTAAGATCTGTAACAAACCATAAAATAGAAAATCAAAATGAAATATTCTAAATCGATGGTGTCAGAACAATAATAATAAAAAACGTCTATGTAAAACTAAACAATCATTTCACTTTAAAAATGTTTCTTTAATTTGACTCTAGTTTTAAAGATTTTTTTTTGGAAATAAGATAAGATACTAGACATGTTAACAATCTATTTATTTACTTTCATTATCAAGTAACTTATCAATGGACTTCAATAGATAGAAAAATTATCTACGAAAGTAATGATGAAAACTTTTTTCACTTACTTTCAATACATTGGAGAGAAGATTAAGGATGATATATAAACACTTATCTCCATTATTTCCCACAGGTTCATCGTCTTCATTTAATAAACAAGAAAATATATCATTTTCTTGTTTGACTTCTAATATTGGTTCAAGATTTTTATTTCTTTGATATTCATGTTCAGTTGCTTCTAATACTTTTATCAATATATCAAATTGAATTTCCCTCGTTCTCTTATAATTTATCAGATCACCCATAATTGTAGCACATTTCTTCAGATAAGATATACATTTATATAAATCAATTTGTTTTTGTATTCTAAGATGATATGCGTGTAGCCATAGTCGTAAAGCAAGCTGACATTCTTCTGGTCCACATAAACAACCGTCATTATTAAATGAATATAAATTATATCCACATAAATCCGCTTGATGATCAAGACAATTTAAAAAATTCGATGTAATACCTAATCTTTCACGTATCATAAGACATTCAATAATCATGCGATTAGAATTATTTTTTATCGACTTTAACTCTTCAATTGTTTGACACTCAGTATAATATTCATAAGCTTCAATTAGAGACGACAAATTGTTTTTGAGAATTGGTACCTTTGAATCATTATATCTTAATTTCATTGCCCATAACAGATAATTATAAGCACTTTCAATGTTAGATTGATAACAATTTATCATATGATAAGATCCAATCAGTTCAAGTTCATTGATAATTTCTGAAATTGTATATGAGAATTGTATTTTATTTTTAATAAAATACTCTACAAGTGCTTTCTGATTATTGATGCCAGCTATTGTCAATGGTGTATATTCATTATTATCTTTTAAAATTTTTGCTTGATATTGTTCCAGCAATATTTTAACAATATTCAATATTCCTGAGCTTGCTGCTTCATGTAATGCAGTGGATCCATTGTTATTAACTGCATTCAAAAGATGATTACTGTCATCATCTAATTTTAATAAACATTGTACAATATTATCATATCCACGACGAGATGCAATCATAAGAGATGTTGAATTATTCGTATCTGTATTATATAAATCAGCACCATTTTCTATAAGATACTCGACCATTTCTAATTGTCCATTATCACATGCTAGACGCTATGGTGTCCAGTTTGAGACAGAGTAATCATAGTCTGCCTTTTGATTAACATTTGCTTTTCCAATTGAGACAAGAGTCTGAACAACGTTTAGATGTTTAGATTTGACTGCAAGCCAAAGTGCCGTCTGTTTATTAAANTTATTTATTTACTTTCATTGGCAAGTTACTTGTGAATGAACTTCAATGTTTTCTCACTTACTTTCGACGCATTGAAGAGAAGATTGAGGATAATATATAAACAATTATCTCCCTTGTTTCCAACAACTTCATTGTCTTCACTTAATATAAAAGAAAAATCGTCATTTTCTTGTTCGACATCTAATATTGGTTCAAGACTTTTATTTCTTTGATATTCATGTTCAGTTGCTTCTAATACTTTCATCAATATATCAAATTGAATTTCTTTCGTTCTCTTATAATTGATCAGATCACCCATAATTCTAGTACATTTCTTCAGATAAGATACACACTTCTTTAAATCAATTTGTGTTTGTCTTCTAAGATGATATGCGTGTAGCCATAGTCGTATAGCAAGCTGACATTTTTCCGGTCCACGTAAACAACCGTCATTAGCAAATGAATATAAATTATATCCACATGAATTAGCCTGATGGTTAAGAAAATTTAAAAATGTTGACGTAACACCTACTCTTTCGTATATCATAAGACATTCAATAATCATGCGATTAAGATTATTTTTTATCGAATTTAACTCTTCAATTGTTTGACACTCAGTACAATATCCATAGGCTTCAATTGGAGGCGGCAGATTGCTTTTGAGAATTGGTACCTTCGGATCATTATATCTTAACTGCATTGCACATAACAGATAAAAATAAGCACTTTCAAAATCAGATTGATAACAATTTATCATATGGTAAGATCCGATTAGTTCAAGTTCATCGATAATTTCTGAAGTTGTATACGAAAATTGTGTCTTATTTTCAATAAAATAATCCACAAGTGTTTTATGTTTGTTGATACCAGCCCTTGTCAATGGCGTATATCCATCGTTATTCTTTACAATTTTCGCATGGTGTTGTTCCAGCAATAATTTAACAATATTCAAATGTCCGGAGTTTGCTGCTTCATGTAATGCAGTAGATCCCTCATTATTGACTGCATTCAAAAGATGATTGCTGCTATCATCTAAGCTTAACAAATATTGTACAATGTTATCATGTCCACAACTGGATGCAATCATAAGAGATGTTGAATCGTCATTATCTGTATGATATAAATCAGCACCATTCTCTATGAGATACTCGACCATCTCTAATTGTCCATTATCACATGCTAGACGCAACGGTGTCCAGTTTGAAACAGAGAAGCCAATGTCTGCTTTATGGTTAATGTTTGCTTTCCCAAGTGAGACGAGAGTTTGAACAACGTTCAGATGTTTAGATTGGACTGCAAGCCAAAGTGCCGTCTGTTTATTAAATTTTTCAACATCACATTCATAATCATAATCATATTGAGAGGAATAATTCGGCACATCAACTATACAATGATGAAAATAATTTTCCAATAAAAAACGTACGATCGAATCATGTCCATGAATAGATGCAATCATCAATGGAGTAAAATATGTGAATAAGTACGAATGATCTTCAACCATTGCATTTAAATAATGGTCAAGTTTATCTGATGGAATGGAATTTAAAACTGTTTCTAATGAATGAACATCACCGTTTATACATACTGCAGTAATTTCATCTAACGTTGTAGTAACAAGATCTTTTGATTCTTCGAATTGACCATTGCGATTATATATTATTTGACGAGAATGCATTGTTCGACGATATAGCTATCAGTCTTCTAATATAGATTACAATACATGACAATATAAATGTGCATCTGTATACTTGAATGCGAATAAATATTTTAAGATTCATAGCTATATCGTCGAACAATGCATTCTCGTCAAATAATATATAATCGCAATGGTCAATTCGAAGAATCAAAAGATCTTGTTACTACAACGNTGCCAAACAATGATATGTTTTTCTATAGACGAAATTGATCAATCAATGAACTATTTCATTGGAAGAAAATGCAGACAAAGTTATTTCTTTTCTCACTTATGGGTCATTCAGACCGAAAAAAATAAAACAAATGGAGCAATGCGATTGGTGCATTATCATTTAAGTCATTTTTTTTAGATGACTTAGGGGTCAATCACACAGAAAAAGATAAAACAATGGGGTGTGGGGTGTAGGTGTGGGTGTGGGTGTGGGTGTGTGGGTGTGGGCGTGGGTGTGTGGGTGTGGGTGTGGGTGTGTGGGTGTGGATGTTCCTTTGTTCTTCGACCCAAAGTCACTCACACCCCACATCCCACACCCCACCCACACCCACACCCACACCCAGTATATATCGATCTTTTTTATGTTTCAATTCAAATAAAGACAACGTAGACATGAATCGATGTGCTCATGATTGTCACCTTGTATTGTTCCTTATATTCTATTACAATTAAGCTTCAGCATTAAAGATAATTATAGAAATTGTTTAACTGAAAGGAATAGTTTTAAGGCATGACCCAACATGATGTTACTCATTCGTTGATAAAAGAAATTCAGTTAAGTTTTTCAAAACGACTTCGATAAAAATTTATTGTCGAAGTCTAACTTCGGCAAAATTTATTGCCGAAGTTTAATTTCGGCACGACATATATATATCTTTACAGATATCGACATGGTTTGAGACTACAAGAATGCACGAATTTGGTGCGAAATAATCCATCAGGTATCATCACTGGTGTTATGAAATCAAACGGTACGCTTATTTCAAAAATGCACGACGAGATTTTGAATACATCACTACCAATACAAATCAGACTGGTCATAGCATGAGCATCGCGCTCTGTCTTCATGGAAGTGGTTTCAGGAGAACGCCAAATTCAGCCGAGTTCTCGAAAAAGGTAAAATACGATCTCATATCATTATATCTCTAAACGAAATGTGATCTCAGGAAATTTCATTTTTCGCTCGTACACAAAGATTCTTTAAAAGGATTTAAAGTTTTAGTCAGAGTTGCCGGATCGAAAATTAAAAGATTAAAAAAAAATATCGGAATTTTTGTTCTGAAAATCGGAAAACTTTTTTTATGCCTAAATAGCTAGTTTATTTTTTTCCAATAGGACATTATCATTTATCTTGTCTCCGTTAATTTTTTCAAAACAATATCTTAAATTATATTTCATGAATAATTAAAGAAAATGTAAATTTACCCATACAGTTTATCATTGTTAACGAATTCACATAATTCATATAAACAGAACCACATTGTTTTTTTCAAAAATCTTGAAACCAACTTGACAAAACAAGAGAACCGACGCTATAAATTCATACACGCATTTGCATTTCACAAAACTTGTACAAAAGAAATTAGGATTCATTCCGTGTAACGCTCGTTTTTGTGTTTATATTTCCTTATTAGCTCGAATATTCTTCAGTGCATCAGGTAAAGGTAAAAGATAGACATAAAAATGTTCGCAAGAATAATCAAAATTCATTTTGACTTTCAATTCTGTAACAGCTAATTCAGTATCCATACGATTATGATTAGTTTTATTATGTCAGCAATGAAACAAGAAAAAACTTAACAAGGAAAACATTCTTAAAATTATTAGCATAGTAAACTAATAGAAAACATTAGTTCATCCCGATAGAAGAACTAAATCTTGGTTGTCTGTAAACCCTCCTAACTTTATTGGAGGTGAGCTTCAAGATCATTGAAGTATGCTCTACCGAGTCCATGACGCTACACTAATCGATAATTATGGTGTAACAACGTTATCACACTATATATGAGGTGATGAGTCATCGTTAAACAATTGTCGAATACTCCAAAAACTTGAATTTACAAAAAGAATTCTAAAAATCGAGAAAAAAACTAGCAAATTAGAAGGCAATTGAAAAAATATATTAAAATCGGAAATTTTTTTGCTATATCAGAAGATCTGACAGCCCTGATCTTAGTATAGTTGTTCATGTGGAATTGAATATATGATCGACTGCTAGTGCTTAATAAGACACTAATGAAAGAAGTTAATTATTTACTTAAAAAACGCATAATCGTTGGTGTCTATTATACACAGATGAATTTGCTGTGTATTCTTTAAAAATCTTATTTATTATTGAAATATTTGTGAATGCAAAATATCTTTTGCATCTTCACTTCACTATAGTGAACGTTGAAAGACTATTGTTAACTTCATACTGAAGACATGCTTCGATCCAGCAACTGAAAAGATTCCACGTGTTGTGACTTGTCTCGTTAGGCTAAATTTGGATAAATTAAATTAAAATATTCATTCTAACGAGTTTTGCGTGAAAATAATCTTTTCAAAAAGTTTTATCAAGATTCGATACTAAGAAAAGATTTCGTAAGTAATACTCTTACAAAATGAAAACAGAGGTTTTATTAGAGGGTGAATCGACAAGTTTTTCCAATACTAAGAAAATAAAAAGTCTTAATTGTAACTATTACGAATGTGTTAGTGAGTATATTCATTATTAGATAACTGGGTTTTTTTTTTAAATACAATTTCTATGGTGCATAGTACGTGTATCGTTTGACACATGTTACTTAGCTGAAGTACTGGCAAAAATCAAAAGTTGTCAAAATCATAATTATGTATGTCTTAAAATTTAAACGAGATTACGGACTTTAAAAAATTTATTAATTCTAAAATGGTTTTGACTTTTTTATTTTTTCATGTTTATTAGTTTCGAAATCTATCTTTTTTTGTTTATTTTCATTCAAGAATATTTCACAAAACCCTTACTTATCGGATGGCTAAATGACTTATTCGTAAGTTTTAAAAATATAATCAAACTTAAAGTGAAACTCTAAGAAATTATGCCAGTGTTTTATTGCAAGACTAAAGTAATGTAGCGGTCGAATTTTAAAAATACGATAAGAAGACAAGTCTTCATTAAATATTTAAAAATAACTTTTTTCTTGTTTTGTTATGGATAAAGTATCATTAATTTGTCGAATGATTTTGAGTGCATCAATAAGGTTTATCTGCAATGTTGGCGAATTTCTTCACAGCATGTCATTATCCAAAATCGTTGTTAGTAGACTATGCCATTACAGTATCTACGATATATAATATAAGATCTTTAGCCCCCACATATCGTAAGAAAATATCACAAACTGATAATGTTTGCACTGTTAAACATTGATTAAATTAGTTATCGTGTAGATAAATTAGTTGGAAATTGAAGTTTCGAAAGTTTAAGTAAACTAAAATTAAGGGTTTCTCTTAGCAACTTTCAAAAGTATGAAAAGACATTCTAAAATTGGATTTAACTAAATATCAAATATTAAGAGGGACCATTGTAATAATGTAGTGCATGAAACACAATGTAGAAGCATGCTTCATTAAACAACGCTGCCTGCCTTTGCCAACTTTCGAAATACATATTATTGACTGAAGAATAATTTGATTTCTCTTTACAGTTGTGAATATGTATACGATAACAATAGTGACTCACCGGCATTTTATACAAACTTAGTGAGAAATGCTGCCATAGCTGGATCAACACGTTGTCTTATGAAGTTTCTTGGTCTGGTCGCATTAGTGTTAGTGTATGGAATGGAAGCTCGGTAGAATATGAAAGAACCAGTCTTCCTGATGGCCTATATAAAATTCAATTTTCGGCTCTTCAGCACTTTGGAATTCCGGAGAACGCCGATGACTTTGACATTTACGAGTCACCAACTGTCCAGCTAATCAATACGTTTACTAAACCCGAACCATCAGAGGGAACGTCGATCTCAATTATCCTTTATCGACCATTCATTTCTTTATATCTTGCGTATTTATGTTATTAAAAATAGTAGAGACTGTGACTTATATTCTCTTAGAAAATAGGACAGTTTTTGATTAGTTGATTTCTGTAAATCGGCTACTTAACATCGCACGGAACAGAATATTTGCACCAAGTTTCGTGGAAGCTTTTCTCATTCATCGATTGCTAGTTGATAATAAAAGAGTCAGTATCTGTTACAGAAGAACTGTGGCAGCGTAATTGAATGCAAACTAAAGAAAACATTCAAATTGATGATTATATTATTCTTAAATAGGGTGTGAATGTGGGTGAACAGTGTGAGTATCATCTATTTTTCCAAACATCCACACCAAATCAATACATGAATCATTATTGTGAAGTATACAAATAGAATAATGACCAAGTGAATAGTGATGATACTCCTTTATTGATTCATTTGATAATCAATGAGAATCTTCTCACTTCATCAAAACTTAAGTGAAAAAACTAATTTTCATCTCTATCCATGCAACATAGAAAGTCGCCCAAAATATATCAACCGTCACATATATCTTACTTTTTTGGTTTGCTCCTAGTTCTCGAAAATTTCTTTATATTTGGAATGAATTAATGCTAGCTTATTAAGAATAGTTTGACAAACGAAAATAGAAAAGATAATTTTCCATCTTCAATATGGAAGAGTACTTAATCTATTTATTCTTGTTTAATGAGTAACCTTTTGAGAATATGACGTTTTAATAATCGATTCAAGATCGATGCTTATTTGAAATATTGCTATCATATCTTTGCTGTCTTCGTCAATATCGGCAGATGTTGGCAATATAATTGATTTCAGATGTGGAATAGCATGTGCTATCATGGCGTGTTCAGTTGAGCAATACAAATTTGAAAGAGCAGTTTGTGCTTGTAAAAGAGAAATTTATAACATATCTGATGATGACAAAGACATATGTTCCATATCTTTAAACTTAAACCCAAAAACATTTTTAACTGCTTCCATACTAGCATCAGGCAAACTTTTAAAATTTTGTCAATCACTAGTGAAATGAAACATTCTATCTCGTAAACGAAGTACTAAATACACGATCGATTCTTTCCATATCTCATAGTCTGCAAGAGTTCTGTTATCTGCTAACTGGAAGTCAACATAAATTAGACGTTGCTGATCAACAGGAATGCCTTCTACTTCGTATATTAGTTCCTTCTCAATGAATATATGCATTTCTGAATTCACTGATAAAGTAATCAATGTTTTGTTGAGGATTCTCACAAAAAGGACAAAATCAATCTTTAGGGTGGGTGTGGGTACATGTCTTCTTATAACTCATATTCACACCACACCCACACTCCGATAGTTACCGGCAAGTGAAATAGAACAATGAAGATAAGCGCATCAAACATTTTACTGCAGTTAATAATGTAGAAAAGGAAGAAGACAAGCTTATATATATATTTATTGTTAAGCAAATATTGTAATAAAGATATTATCAGCATGGCAGTACGATGATGATATGACAACAAAACGCAATAGAAGAATGATATTCCTTGGTAAGCAAGTGAACCATGGGTATTCTGCTTTCTGGGCAGTTGTATTACCATTATTCTAGAAAGGAATGTTTATTATCCTTTTCCTTCAGTGTAATAACTGAATGGGAACATTTCGGCTACAACAACTATCACACTCGAGAAACTTCTTGTAAATACTTGACACAAGCTTTATTCAGCATGTTCTCAAATATTATCCAGAACTAAATATAATCAATAACACTCGCAGCTAAAGTGTAGTGCAATTGAACTCTGAATGCTCTTGTATTTATAATGAAATTAATTTCAGCTAAAATTAATGTTCAAAACGCGTGTCGTTCATAAAGAGCATTGTTTTTCACATGTTGCAAACAGACGTCCGTTAATAATATTTTATATTATTCAAATATGGACTGTCTTGAGTGGCATAAAGAACATCATCTATGTCAGAAGGAGGAGGGGGTCTTCTAATGTCATTTGTGTTGTTTATTCAAGAGAGCATTCAAAATATTATTACACTGCTTTTATAACGGGTGGCCCAGAATAAATGGCATACTTTATATTTCGTGAATATCTTGCTTATGTTTGTTTGTGGAGAACTGAGATTAAGATTAAAAGATAGCCCGTTGAATTCTCTCCAAGTACGGTATGAATCTTTATTCTGTATAAAGCAAAGCAAAAACATAAAAGTAAAAATACTCAACACATTCACGAGGATCAACGTTCTAAGCTAAAAAATCGCCTTTTCGATTTTTTTCGTTGGCAAACGATGGCAACAATAAAGTAATATAGGTATTTTTTAGTCCTTGAAAATCTCTTTCGATCGATCTCAATTTGAAAATTATCACGCTCATTCTTACGGCATACGTCAATAATCTTCTTTTTCAAATTGAAGAGAAATTAGCTGTTTCATTCTTTGATTTTGAAGCTGCTAGAAAAAGACGCATGCCTACACCAAAACAGCATCTTTTGAGTTCAGGTTTTCTTTGCTTTGATGAAAAAGGACCACTGTACCAAATTCAGCGGCAAAAATTGATCCGAAATTCTCTTCTTTAATTCAACTGTCAAAAAAGATTAGATTTAAGTCATTGTGAATAAGATTTTGAATAGAGTTTTGAAAAGTCTGCCTTTTCAACATTTACGTTAATTGTAAAGAGCTGTGAGCTACCTGAAGAAACAGAGCATGCTTTAAAAAGCTCAAAAACATTTTCATTACCGTTTTATTCGTTTTCAAAGTTCTTAAAAAAGACTGCAAATATTATTTAAAAGATGATTTAGAAAGTTGGCCCTCTTGAATGTGTTGAGTATTTTTACTTTTATGTTTTTGCTTTGCTCTGTACAGAATAAAGGTTCATACCGCACTGTAGAGAACTCAACGGGCTATCTTTTAATCTTAATCCCAGCTCTCCACAAACAAAAATAAGCAAGATATTCACGAAATACAAAGTGTGCCATTTATTCTGGACCACCCGTTACAATATTTATAAATCAAAGATTTGTACGGTTTTGATTTCATAGGTTATTTCTGTGGCTATAAAGTGTCAAAATCCAGTATGAGTACTAGAGTATTATATTTTCTTGAATTTAGTGACTATCGTCAAAGTCAGTTAAGAAGAAATATTACAACCAGTTGTTGAAATCGAAGGATATGTTTCCTCAACATCAGAAATTTCTCATAATTATTTTAGATTTAACAGCAGGATTGAAATATTAAGTCAATTGACTAAGTAATAGAAAGCAGATTCTTTTCAGTATGATTAATGATCTTTGATGAAATACATGTTATTGTTTAGAAAGTATTAGTTGATTTCACATATAACAAAAAAAATATTTCGTTATTCTTTCTCGTTCGAACTGATTCAGGATATTGCGACATCTTTAAAATAGCTGGAATAAAAGAATGAATTTGTATTTTATCTTTTTATTTATTGGATTTTTGTTTGTAATGATAAATAGAAATCTGAATTACGAAGTTTTATTCACATTTTGTTTTCTATTGAATTGTTATACACATTGAAGAGTGTTTCAAAACAATATTTGAAAAAACTATATTGAAATCAAAATTATGGCAAAAGATACAGTTACAGTTCGTCTTCAAAAATTACTCAATAATAAATTATTATTATCATCATCACATGATAAAAAAACCATTATTTCTGCTTATAATACATTAATTAGTATTCTTCAAACGCCTGAAATGCATCAACAATTGCCTGGAAACCAAGATTTACTTTTCGAATGTATATCTCAAATAATTTTGACATCATTTAATCAATATTTTCATGATGATCAATTACGATTTTTACTTCAATTAGTATCAAATACATGTGTTTTATCAATGTCACAAAATCAAATCATTGATAGTTGGTTAAAAAATATTGAACAACGTACATTTGAAAAACAAGATAGTTATGATGATGATGATGATGATGATGATTTATATGAAGATATAACTGAAAGTGAAGACGATGAAAAGACAAAAAATGTTACAAAAAATACTAATAATGAATCAAAACTAAGTTTCAGTAAGCAACATAAATAAAAGCACACTTATCATGATGATTCATCTCATCATGATTTGAGTTTAGTATCACCAAGAGATAAAAGTCGATCATTAACAAGTATGAAATAGAATGAATTTTTATACTTTGAATTGTATAGAGTCAATATTGAATCAATGTAATGTTTCTACTGTACATTTACATGATAAATGAAACGGTAAATACTAAGCTTTTTTCTTCGTTTTACTGTTTGAAATATCAGATACGTCAATCATTTCCAAATTATTTTAATTGAATTAAATTAACAAGAACTGCAACTTTTGACGATATCATACGAATAATACTTAAGATTAATAATTAATTAAGCGAGCAACGAACATATCAATAATACATTCAATATAAGCTTTGAAATAAAGTTAGAAAATTTCCAATTCGAAGTGTTCGAATTTTAATGTCAACCAAGATATTTTTTGTAAGAAAAAAAAACTTAAAGAAAGATTTCGCATTTATTATAATGATGCCGGAGTTTAGATTTACTTGTAGGTCTTTAACTACGATTCCTATCTATGAGCAGAATATGATTTCAAGCGGCTATTATCCATCGAATAGGTTCCAACATTGCATTATATTTTTTGTTTCTGATTAATTTCAAGTAGAAATTTTCCAGATATTGTCAAATTATCGAAACAGAAATAGAGTACTCTGCATTTGACTTATCTATTTTACTATCAATCTTAAAATCGACTCATACATTTATAGTAAAAATTTTGTAGATAGTCAAACTGTTAGCACCGACTAGGGATGTGTAGTTTTGCTTCATATTACGATATGAAGATTCCTGCGCTAATATTTCTAATAATAAAAATCATTGATATTCAGAACGAGACAATATATAATGAAAAATAAAAACAAGAAACAACAATCTTTGATTTTTTAATTAAAAGAATTTCAATACGACAGATATGAGCTATTTGTAATAATATAAGATAACGGGTGGACGAAAATTATTTGGACAAAATGTTGGTACACTTTTGACCCGCTAGAAAGTACTTTCCACAAATCAAAAGGTATACATTAGAACCAGAATTTTGTGCTCTTTTCGAATATGGACTCAGAAATTTTCCCAGAGTTTTAGTCTGAGGGTAATGAAATAATCTTTAAAGAGCCCGAAAACTTTGTTAGGAGAGAAAATTTCCTGGCGTGTTTTTGAATTTTCACTATTGTGGTTCGAAACTAAAAGTTGGAATCTTTGTTTATACATCAGCTTGTAGATCAAAAGCTACTCTATAAAATGCACTATTTATGGTTCTTTTTGTCTTCCAATAAAGTATTATAATTTTCGTTTTTCAGAAATTGAGTTTTTTCAAAAGTCGGCTTTTTGACCAAAATTGTTTTATGTTCAAGAGAGCTCTACAAAACGACCACCTCGAGCAATTTTTAGTATGTTCGAGAAGGGGCTTACTGATTAAACAAAAGCCTGTTTGTTCATCATTAAAAATCATTTGTCAAATATTATGAAAATGACTCTCACTTCGTTTGAACAAAAATAGACACGAGATTTTCGGGACAATATTCGAATAGAGCAGAAAATTCTGATCACAACCTAATGCTTTTTGTTCGTCTGAAATACTCTCAGATAGACCAGAATAAACAAACATATTCACCAGCAACTCCGGTATTCAAGCTCCGTCCAAACTAAATTTTTGGGCTCTTTAAAGATTATTTCATTACCCTCAGACTAAAACTCGGGGAATTTTTCTGAGCCCATATTCGAAAAGAGCACAAAATTCTGGTTCTAATGTATACCTTTTGATTTGTGGAAAGTACTTTCTAGCGGGTCAAAAGTGTACCAACATTTTGTCCAAATAATTTTCGTCCACCTGTTATATTCACCTTGTCATTTAACTATGATTTTTATCGACAGTGATTTTTCTTAATAAATTCTTTTAGAATAGACATACGTAAAAACATATTTTTTCTATCTACTGAATATCAACTAGTTAAAAAATAATTAGTAAATATTTCGTTAATCATACAAGATAAAAATCCGAAAATTTCAGAATGAATTTTACATTGTGATTCACATCTCTGGAAAAATTTTCAAATAATTGAAAAATTCTCTAGAAGGACTAACAGTAGTATTCTACTATTAATTCTTCTGAAGAAAAGTTGCTTACATTAAATTTTTCAGATTATCTAGAATAATTTAATATATAAAGTGAATGACTTTATTTATTTATTTATAACTAATTAGATCATCAACATTCTGAACAAAGTACAGTAAATGAAGCTTCAGCTAGTGGAAACAATAATCGAAAATCATCAAATAACAATAGTACAAATAATGGACGATGTGTAGCTTCATTCAATAATAAATATGGTGCTGATATTCGACTTTGTAAATCATGAAAATATTTTTCATATTCTTTAAAATGAACAATTTCTCTATTTTAGATGATTGCTACATTTGTGGTGAATATGGTCATATTCAATATAATTGTCCTATGAAAAAAAATAAATCAAAAGTTAAATCTCGTACTCATAATCGTACTGATTTAACTAATAAAAAGAAACAAATTCGATCAGAATCTTCTAACGAAATAATTCTTTCAAAAAGAGATCAAGGTCGTATTCAACGAATTTGTAATCAATCAACAAAATTAATTGATTGTTCTTATACAGATGAAAAACGAAATAAAACATTTAAATTACTTCTTGCACGTATAAGAAAACTTTTAAAACTCCATGGAAAAAATCTTTCAAGAATATTATATGAAAAAGAATCAATATTCTATTCATTTGTTTGTCATGTTGCACAAAATAATTTTCTATTTACAAATGATCAATATTTAATATTATATGATTTAAAACATATTTTATTACCACAAAAATATAATTTATTAAATAAAGATCGTTCAGTATTTTGTCGAGAACGTATATTAATACCTTTAAATATAATTACAGAACATATTAAAACTCAATCAAAAATTCAACAATTAATATTAGATGATTTTCAAGAATATATTATTCGTTCAACATCACCAATATCAACAATATTATTTGATTTAATTAAATATGTATTAAAATCAAATATATATATTGATATAAAATATTTGAAATATTTTTCAAAAACAATTTTATTTGATATGAAAAAAAATATTTTTTCAAATGAACAACTTGATGAACTTCATATATATTATAATATTCTTATAAAAAATTTTGAACGTGATAATCCAATACAGGCATGGAAAGAACGAATAGTTTTATTTAAAAATGGTAATATAATACCAAATGATCTTGATCAATGGATTTCAGAATTAGATCAACTTATTAATAAAACTCTTATTAAAAAAAGAAACTCTCAAAAAAATGTTCTTCAACATGCTATGTGGTATTTTATTATTTTAACCATGGCTAGTAGTGGTCATTTAAATCAAGATCAATATGAATGTATTTTAAAATCTGGTATTCAATCAACATTATTTAATTCCAAACAAAAGTTTTATTTTCAATATTATTTAAATCAAGGACATGCACCAATAACTATTGATGAATTAAATCATGTTGAAAAGAAATTACGAAGTCAAAATATTGACGACAAAAGATTAGCCTATGAACAAATGATAATCATACTTAATAGACCAAAACCAGAATTTAAGAATGAACAAGTAAATTAATTTATTAATTATTTTAATTTATTTTATTATGTATTTGTTTAGTTAGAACAATTTTCTTCTTCTGAAAGTAATAGTTTAACTCAAACTAATGATCAGGTACATTTTATAACATATCATTCACTGATATATATTTAATACAACATAATGATCGAGATATTTTGTTTTTCACCTATATCATTCTTGATACAGTGTTTTGTAGAGATTTTTACTGCACATCTTTTTTTTCTTTTGAAAAAATGTAAGACTTGTTCATTTTCTTAAGGCAAAATATAGATGAATCAAAAAAATGTTGTAGTATTTTGCCGCTTTTCGGTATACAACTGAATCAACTTCATTGGTGTCCAACCTCAAATAATTTGATTATAAATATCAGAGATAGAATTCCATCTCGGGCAACTATTTGATCGAATTAATTTTTGAAATATTCGTTAAAAAGACATATTCGACAGGCTGTTATATACTTCTATTTATTTTTTATAGATTTTGACTCAAATAGACAAAGTATTCCTAAGTTAACCAACATGAGTGTAACTATACTATATGTTATCCTTCTTATAGCCTTCAGATTTTCTAAGAATATCTCTTGTTTGTTAATTTTCATAGTAGAGCATAATACATTTTGCTTTGTTTTACATGTTGAAACCACTGATATGAATTCTTCAGACATAGTCTCAGTGAAATAACTAGTTCTTCTACATGTTCAACATTGTTTTTTCATGTCGATCTGTCAGATCTCGTGAAAGTTTACAGATGACAAAATGAAAAAGTTCGCAACATAACTTCCAATTAATTAATCACTTTTCAATCGAAAACAAATATACTATGAAGACTTTCAGGTTATGAGCAAAATCCTCGACATACTGATTGTTGAATTTCGATTTGAAACAGGTCTTCATGAGATTAATTAATGATAAAAGTGTCAGATCATTTGCATAGTATCTTAGAATAAGAATAATTAAAAGATCTACCTGTTTAGAAAGTTTCAAATTGAAATTTTAAAAATAAATTTTTCTCAAAGGCATATCGGTATTCTATTGTAATCATTTCAGAATATTCATAACTCATTAAAATCTAAAAGTAATTCATGCATTTCAATAGAGTTTTTAAAAAAAAATATTTTTATATTTTATTCTTCTTCTAGTCAAAACAGTCAGACGATTTAATTCCAATAATTGATGATCATGTTCTACTTTATTTAATTTCTCTTATTGAAATGTTTTCTTCAGATGCCATTACATTTACAACTGAACAATTTAAAGAATTACTTGATAAATTTCTTTATCAATCAACAATTGTTCGTCCAATACCGTATGCTGAACAAAAACGTTTATTATCATATTATTCTCGTTCAATATCATTAAATGAATTGAAAACTCATCCTTTATCAACAGAATCAGATTTAAATCATTATTTACAATTACTTAAAAGTAGACCATTAATGAAAAATGATAAACTATATGATTATTTAACAACAACAGTTATAAATATATTTAAAAATCGACAAAAATTTTCCAATGAAAAATGTCAAGACTTAAAGAATATTCTCGTAAAAAATATTTTAGGAAAAAATCGTTATCGTTCAATAAATGAAGCTTATGAAAATTTTCGTTTAAATAAAAATAATCATCTAATAATTAATCGAACTATTCTCAATAAATTACTAAATAATATTCTTTTAAAAGATTGTCAAGTAAATCTAACTTTTATTTAGAAAAAAAAAGAAATATTATTTTATTTTATTTTTCAAGGCACATGTTGAATTTCTTAATTTATTAGAAGATATTTCACAATCAATCAATTTTAAAAAAATAACAATTGAATTTGAAATAAATATTTGTCTTTTAACAACAATAATTCTTCTTATAATCGATGCTGATTATTCAAATTCACCAGATTTAATTTTGTTTCAGCAACGCTTAATAAATATAATAAAAAAAGAAAGAAAATTTTTTTCCTTATGTTTTACTAAACAACAATATAAACTTATTACATCACGTTTAATATTAATATTAAATATTGATGTATTAATTAATTTACTAAAAACAAATTTAAATGAAAATAATTTTTCTAATTTAATTTATTTCATTCAAAATGAATTAAAACAAAAAGATGATTTTAATAAATTAATTTCTTTTTTAATTTACACATTTGATAATGAATTTTTATCTATTGAACAAACATTTCAAATATCAAATTTAATTTTTCAACATTCAAAATTAAATAATAAAAAATTTAAACATCTTCTTCAATTTCTTATTGAATTACTTCAATTGAAAATACATTCATCACCTAAAATTTTCTTAAAATTAATTAAAAATAATCAAGATAATTATCAAACTATCAATCAAATAGAAATTATATTAAAATTACAAAATGGAAAATATGCTATTGCAGGATGGAAAAGATCAATGATGAGTTTATTAGAAATTCTTTTCGATCGATCAGATA